GAGCTGTGGTCGCTATGAAATTAATGATACGACAACAGGATAATAAATCATATTACATACGATTGCGTGGTTTGGCATGGCCCTGTTGTCAGGGCGCTCAACTCGCAATCTGCGGGTCGCGGGTTCGAATCTCCGTCACACCAAAAAACTCACCCTTTCAGTCGTTGGAGCGTTATAATGTACGGTCAATCTCTCTATTCGTTGGTAAAAAAGTACCCCAAGAGTTGGCGGTGGATGGTGTTGACTAGCTGCCTCCCCCTCTAGTCTATAATTGGTAAATTAGGGACGGCTAGTGCAGATAACCCTCGTGTGGCTTTGCGTAAATTCATACCCAAACCCAGTTCTCTCGTGAGTTTATTAAGTAGTTTTTTTACAGCATCACGACTATTGATACAATGACATTTAATCTCTTACTTCTATACTATAATTACTCAGAGAGGCTTTAACCTAGAATCTCTGATCTAGCGGTTGCAAGTGGTGTGTCTAAGATAACATTCTGTGTGTGGAGATGAAATGGTAAATCGTATCTTTTCAGGGTGTACTTTTCTTAGGCAGTGCCGTTCCTCACCGAACGTGCTGAATCACGTTCATCTGAAGTCGAAATGTAAACTGTAACTTTCTGCTTATTATAATGTCAGAGCAGTGATATAAAATATATATGCGCTTAGGACGTTTCGTAATTTACGCATTACATCATCAGAGATCTAAAATATTTTCACACAATATAATATTATATATATATATATATATATAAACAAACAATACAAGTTTTAATGCGGATGAAAATGCATACAAAATATACAGAGGGGAAGAAATAAGTAAATTTTACAAAAATTAAAAACACAATTAAATAAAATGAATATACCAAAACAAGGAGAACTGAAAGGAACTGAGGTTATTTGTCTTCTCCGATTGCACGAGTTAAACCTCCAAATAATCGTTAAATTTATTGTTATTGAAGCAGTTAGACCTGGAAAGAAAGATTAGTTTAATAAAAAACACAACACGTCAGTATGTAGAGCCTCTTTAACGGAAATTAGTTTGAATATAAGGTTTACTTCTCGTGTATGTTATGTTTTTAGTATATTGATAACGATTACAAAGGAAGTCGGGTTGCTATACTTTTGATAAAAAATATTAAATATGTATTTGTTGCATGGTACCAGTGCATTAGATTCTCTCTGGGTTAAACCACAGGATA